ATCGGGTGGAGAGGGAGGTGGGAGGGGGGATCGGGATGGGGAATACTTGTAAATCCATGGCTGATTCATGTCAATGTATGACAAAAACCACTACAATATTGTAAAGTAATTAGCCTCCAACTAATAAAAATAAATGAAAAAAAATCCAATTATTTACATATCTCTACTAGCCCATGAGAGGGCTTTGCTGGTGGCTCAGACAGCAAAGAATCCACCTGCAAAGAAGATCTGGGTTCGATCCCTGGGTTGAGAAGATCCCCTGAAGAAGGGAATGGCTACCCACTCCAGTATTCTTGCCTGGAGAATCCCATGGACAGAGGAGTCTGGCCAGCTACGGACACGGGATTGCAAAGAGTCAGACACAACTGAGGAACTAACACTTCTCAGTTTCATTAGCCCATGAAGTCTTCCCTAATGAAACCTAGCTTGTAAGTATAGGAAATACTGGTTGTAATCCACTGATATCAGTCATTTCTCTCAATAAGGGATGTGGGTACCTAGGTACATCCTCAGTTATGTCTTATGAATGTTTTGAGAAAGTGGCTTTTCTCTAAACCTCTCTAAAACCCCTCTGGTGGCTGATCCTGTGACTGTCTTTTCTCATGAACTTTCATCTTATTGGGCATTATTTGCTAATCGCCTATCAAGTCAAATATATTCCAGGAGTGACAATGCCGCATAAATTGAGGTGTAAGTGGGCAATCTTATAACTACTGTCTTTGAATATTTGCAGGTAAGTTCATACTCCTGTGGTCCAAATTCTTCCTGCTGAACATCCTCACACTTTGCAGTGAATATTCACTGCAAATACATTTGCCCAATAATGTTAATCTTTGAACATACTATTCTCTGATATATTTTTAGTGACTCATTTTGTTTCAAAGCCATCTGAAAATTACAGGAATAAAATATTGTTCAGTTGAAATTAAGACATGGAATTGTTTACTAAGTTTCATTTCTATTATGAAATGATCAAGTACAAAGAATGTCTCTCTTTTCTGTTATTGGGAAAATTAGTCAACTTTTTTTTTAATTAGTCAGTTTCTAAAGTCCAGGGAAATATATCTGTCCAGAGATCTTCAGTATACCTAATAATTACCATACCTTTAATCAATTTATTCAAGCATACAACTGCTACCTTTTGAGTGAGATGATGGTTATTTATTTGTCATGCAAGTGAATAAACTTGCTAACTAGTATGTCAAAATTAGCAGACTAAAAGGTTATTTATATTAGGAATATAGATATAGAAATGATATAGAATAGAATAGATATCTCTTTCTATAGATATAGAAATTTTTCACCTCTCCTGCCCTCCCACAGAGCCTTGTTAATCAACTACTCCACTAGCACTCTCCAATAGTACTTCCTGAAATAAGAAAATATTCTATATCTGCACTGCTCAATATGGTAGCCGCTAGCTACATGAGGTTCTTGAGCACTTAAAATGTACCTAGTTGGGTTCAGGAATGGGATTTTTATTTCACTAATTTTAATGAATATGAATTTTAGGGGCTTCCCAAGTGGCACTAATGGTAAGGCACCCACCTGCAAATGCAAGAGACATAAGAGACACGGGTTTGATCCCTGTGTTGGGAAGATCCCCTGGAAGAGGCCATGGCAGACCACTCCAGTATTCACGCCTGGAGAATCCCATGGACAGAGAAGCCTGGCAGGCTGCAGTCCATATGGTCACACAGAGTCAGACATGACTGAAGCGACTTAACCCTCACAGAAGCACATATGAATTTTAATTTAAATAGCAACATATGACTGGTGTCCATCAAAATAGTACGACTGTGCACTAAGATCTGAACCACATTAGCTAATCCAAATGCCTACAGTCAGTGAGAGCATACAGAGCCCTCAGCAGAACTGAGGAAACCCAAGCATCAAATTCCTCCTATGTTCAGTGAGATATTTGGTACCTATCATTTAACAAGACTAGAGAATTTCTGGACACATTCAGCTTGATTGAAGGATATAGAAACTATCCAGCACATTTAAACAATCCCTAAAGCTTAGAGGCTTAGAAATTGAGCTTTAACTCCATATGAATAACTTCTATTAAATACTTTACATGTGTTGACAAGAACACTTTTCCCCCCACTTTGTTCTAAATACAATCTCTTTGCTACAAAATTCTTAGTGTTTTCCTACAAAGTATTTTCAGTTCTGTTGAGGCTCATCTGTTTCCTCAAAGCTATCAATCTCATCCACTCTTCAATTTTATTGACTTAGAATGAATGATTCATCTCTTCAACTTACCAACTACACTTATTACCATCCCCAAGATATTTGGTCTTCTCTTGTATAATTTGAAACAGAAAAGGATAAAATGTGGTTCAATCTGCTTCTGTGCTGCCACACTTAATAAATTGAATAGAGCTCAAGATAACTGCATCAATTTACCATTCATTCACTCATAAATTTTTTTTTAATATTGATGATTTGTTATACCTGGGTACTGCACTTGTGCTAAGAATAAGAAATGGCACTGAATAAAACAAAGGCCCTTCTTTGGTAGAGCCTGTATTCTAGTAGAAATGAATGACAGTTCACAAAGAAACAGCTAAATAAATTAAAGCTGACTCTGTCCCTCTCAACCCCATCTTTCTAAGTCTGTCTAAGTCTTTCTAAGTCTGTCTGAGTCTTATATTTCTCAGGTACTCTGGTAATTGCGTTCTCGACCAGTTCGTTTGCTGGCAGGCTCCGGCAACCAACTACACTTATTACCATCCCCAAGATATTTGGTCTTCTCTTGTATAATTTGAAACAGAAAAGGATAAAATGCGGTTCAATCTGCTTCTGTGCTGCCACACTTAATAAATTGAATAGAGCTCAAGATAACTGCATCAATTTACCATTCATTCACTCATAATTTGTTTTTAATATTGATGATTTGTTTTACCTGGGCACTGCACTTGTGCTAAGAATAGGAAATGGCACTGAATAAAACAAAGGCCCTTCTTTGGTAGAGCCTGTATTCTAGTAGAAATGAATGACAGTTCACAAAGAAACAGCTAAATAAATTTGTCAATCCAAAATAAATGATAAAAGGCAAAAAATGTCAATGGTGTATGTACCATATGATATATTGCAATCAAGTAAAGCCAAGAGGCATTTGAGAGGACAACTAACTGCAGTGATGGATTGAACCATAAAGACACCTGGCAAATGGACAGGCTTTGTGGCAGGAGTGCCCTTGGTGTGTACAAAGAAGAAAAAAGAGCATGAAATATGATAGGAGAGCAGAAGTGAAAGGCTATTACAGTAACACAGTGGAATCATTATAAACTTGAACTCATCTGGTGATTGTGGAAATTAGAAAACATAGTCAAATTGTAAATGTATTTTATATTCACAACCAACAGAGTTTGCTGATGGATTATGAAATGGGACAATAGTCAAGGATAACTCTAAGGATTTGGCCTAAGTAACTGTAAGAATTATAATACCCTGAAAAGTGTTTTGTGTATTAAAATGTACTCATGGTCTCTACTCTTAACCAAGTAGAAATTCTTCTCCATATCTCAAGTCCATTATCTTTCCTATTTTCTAGCCATGACTATTTCAAAACTCTATGGCTCAGCCAAAACTTCCTTATACTGAGAAAATAAGCTTTGCTGAATCAGAATATTTCTAAGCTTCACTATCCTCATCTGAGAAACGAATTTAATAACAACAACAGTAATAGTGAACACAGTGAATATTACCCTCATTGAAAGTAATCTACATCAGGGTCCCCAACAACGACGCCACAGACTGGTACCAGTCCATGGCCTGTTCGGAACTGAGCTGTACAGCAGGAGCTGAGCAGCAGGCAAGTGGGCATAGCTTCATCTGTATTTACAGCTGCTCCTTATCACTTGCATTACCACCTGAGCTCTGCCTCCTGTCAAATCAGCAATGGCATTAGATTTTCATAGGTTGTGAATGCTACCATGAAATGTGCATGCAAGGGGTCTAAGATGCTCAGTCCTTATGAGAATTATCCCCAAGCCATCCTCTCACATCCATCTGTCCATGGAAAAATTGTTTTCCACATAGCATGGTGCCAAAACATTTGGGGAGCACAGATCTACATGGTCAGAAGTCTATCTGTTTCTATTTGTCTAAAACAATAGCCCAAGGTCACATATTCAGCACTTAGTAAAGCTACAATTGGACTCAGGTAATTTTGTTCCTGAACTCATGGACTTTCTGTGTGGCACTACCTTTCATGTGCTTTGTAAGGTTTGAATGCAGTGATGCAATTATGTTGCTTAGCACAGTGCTTGACAAATAGTCAGGCTTGACAAGTACTTACACATGTCAGCAATGTATTGTTATTTTTACTAACAATAAAAATAATTGCTACCTTACCCCATCCACATGTTATATCTGGCTTAGATGTGTACTTCCTTCTTTAGCTTCACTAGTTGTACAGTCTGGGCCAGTTTCAGGTCCCCTAAAAAAACAACCCATTACACTTTCCTGATCTTTCTTTGCTGTCTCCAACTAAGCAGCATCCCACAATTCAAGTTTTAAACATCATCTGTCTAACTCAGTTCCCAGGAATATGAAGATAATGGGCTACAGCTCATGGATAGATAGGGTAGAGTCAGGGATGGCTTGAGAGGGAGGGTCAGGGAAGTGGAAAACTATTAAGTACAGAATTAGGCTCATGAATAGTGTTGAGATATGAATTCTGGATTGGGTGGGGATTAAAATTATAAGTATTATTTGACAACAATGAAGTTGAAATATTTAGTGTGTTTGCAGTGTGTATGTATGCAGTGTGTGTTTAAATGGGTATGCACACATATACCATATAGTCTCTCCAGCCTCAAAACATTATGGGTTATCCCAGAAAGGAGTATCTTTACAATTCAAATTAATGATAAAAATTCTCTGTTTCATTGGTGGTATGAGCAACAGTAGCAGCAAAAATAGAATTTTCTGAATTTTAACTTTCAGAAAAGTATCCTTTTATATAGCAGAATTTGGTCAATTTCAGTAAGAACACTTATTTTAGAATTAATGAATGTTAAACTAAGCATACTGTGCTGATCATTCCACAATACATACAAATATCAAGTGGTTACATTGCACACATGAGACTAATATAATGCAGTATGACAATTATATCTCAACTAAAAGCTAATAAAGAATAATTAATTTTTTATTGATTATTTTACATATTTCTACAGGTTAATGTGTCATCTTAGTACAAAATTATTAATATGTTATTTTTCACCTAAACATTCTCCCAACTTAAGTTTTGTCTTATTAGAGCTATGAGAATTTTGTCATAATTCAGATATATGAATGAAATATCTTTTTCCATTTTGACTCAAAACAGCCTTAGATGTGTGCACTCTCAGTGTATCTCAAGAGAAAAGTGACTTGCAGTTTAATATAACAACATCAGTATATAAATATGCATCAACGGCAGTTTTGTGTATCAAAAGTCAATCAATATTAGGTCATTTCATTATCAGATTGTCAGAAAGATTGGTATTTCAGAAGAATAACACTGCATCTGGTCTTATGCAGATATATATGTAAATATTGCATTAAAATGTAATTATATTTTTTCCTCCCTCTAGTAGAGAGAGATGACAACAAATAGGTCTGATTAAAATTAATGATGATATATTGAATAAGTAAAGGTTACACAATTACAACTCCAGTTTAAACAGTGCCTAAGCTACCTGTCAAATATTTACTGCCTCTTTATTAAGACAATTGCTATTGAATTGCTGCTTTACCCACTCTGCTCCTTCCAGTGATATCACTGTTGTTGTTCAGTCACTCAGTCGTATCCAGCAATTTGCAACCCCATGGACTGCAGCATACCAGGATTCCCTGTCCTTCTCCATTTCCCAGAGTTTGCTCAAACTCACATCCATTGAGTTGGTGATGTTTGGGAAAGGGCTTTTCTTCTCACAAGAAAAATTGAAGTGCAGTTAAACCATTCAGACCAGTTGAGTCATGATATGTCATACAGAATCAATTTACTTTCATTTACTTCCATCTTTCATCTCCTTCTCTCGCCTAGCTTGGATAGTAATTAATTTGTAGGTTTATAAAATTAACTCATCAACTTTCTCACACAAATTTCCCTTATAATTGAAGATATAGGTTGAATGAGGCAAAGGGCAGAGACTATATGCGAAAAAAAATTACAGACTTCTTGGAAGTTCAGTTCAGTAGCTCAGTCGTGTCTGACTCTTTGCGACCCCATGAACCACAGCACGCCAGCCTTCCCTGCCCATGACCAACTCCCAGAATCCACCCAAACCCATGTCCATTGAGTTGATGATGCCATCCAACCATCTCATCCTCTGTTGTCCCCTNCACTTTTTCTGGAAGATTATCAATAGAAGTCTACATCTGGGATGTTATTAAAGTTGGAGATGAGTTTGCTTCTATTTGTGAACTCAGAATGCTAAAACAATGGAGAATAAATTGCTATTAAATGGTGAGCCAGTGTTTCATTTCAAGAGTTATAACTGCCGAGGAGGTTGGAATACTTAAGTGAGCTCACCAGCAAAATTACCATGTAATAGAAAAATCTACTTAGGAGATCAAATTGCTGTGAGAAAATTCCTTAGTTAACATAGAATACAAATAAATGAAATATGACTGCTTTTAAGGAACAGTGTTAAAAATTATAGTAGTTTGATCCATATCTGTCAGAAAGACTTAAGTGACAACCTTGCATAGCTTGTGCTGTTAGAAATTATAGTTTCAACTCCTTCTGGTCCTTATAAACACAATTAGCTGATTTTGCAAATTCTATGTTAAAATATGTTGTATATAAAAATATTGATGATGTTTAATGCAGTAGTAATCAATGGTTTTTGTCCTCATAATGTTACTTCACTTTGCCCATGTTAAAATCAAAGTGATTCCAATATTTAAAATAATATTTTTATGCATTTATCTTTCCAAATACTCAATTTTAAAAATTCATTATCTTCAGATACAGATACATCTATGACTCACCACTTTATCTGATTGGATGCAATCTACTAAGAATTATATTTCTTCCATTTTCTATTTACTTTTCTCCATTTCAGAACATGGGGTTGCTGACCTATCTCTAAATTTTGGGGTTTCAACCTTGTGGGGCACTGCTCTTTCCAAAGCATTAGTTTTTCCTTATCTGACAATGTGACAACCAAGAAATTCAAAGAGAACTTAACCCAGAGGTAGGTAACAATCTGAGTTGAAAAGTTGAAAGTACCTTCTTGATTTGGGCCAATTTTTTTTCCCCCCCACCTAAAAGCCAATAAAAAATGAGTTGTATTTCTTTTATTAACACAATGAATAGATATAAAAACATTAAGTTCTTGAATACACTTCAGAAAACAGTCAAGCAAGTTAGTTTATAAGTTTACTTCACTAAGTGATCATTGGTAAGTCTAGTAAATTTTTTATAAGAAATCAGAATTTTCAGGCAGGCAGTAAGCTACTTCAGAAATGTAACAGAACAGGGATCCAATAAGTTAGAGGCTAGCAGTACAGGCAAGACTGTGATTTATATATTCCTATTACAAGATAATTGCTTTTGCATTGTGGATTTTCTCCTGACTAATCTTTGATTATATTTGTCAAACATCTCTTGACATAACTCAGAGTATGAGTAATTATAGTGGCAAAATAAAATTCCAAATAATTTGACAGATCACTCTATATGCTATTAGTGAACTTCAGTTATCTTTCAGCAATATGACAGTGATTCACTGACAGTGGAGGCAGCACTCTGAAAAGGAAAGAAGAGGTGATGTGGAATCATTCAAACCTAGGCTCCAAAGCCTGTTTTCCTGCTTACTAGCTGCATATTCTGTGCTAAGTATTTACTTTCTTTGAGCCTCAGTTCACTGATTCTACAACAGTTGTCTTGTGGCACTTTTGTTTAAACTGTTTATATCTTGCACAATACTTGACGCATAGTAGGTCTTCAAACAATAGAATTTTCTTTTCCTCAAGATTATTATTCATAAGAATGAGGACTATATGTCCTCATATTTTAGCAATGAATAATTACAAATATCTAGCAACACTGGGAACTCTGTGGAACATTTCACCTCTGGGAATTTAGAGGTAAAAGAAACACAATGAAGAATACCAAGGGTTTTAAAAATTAATTAACAAGAGTAGTAAGTAAGTAAGTTTGAGATCTGTTGATATTATATCATACACTTTATTAACAATATAACTCCTTTACAACATGGGAACTAGAATAAGAAAATAAGAAATTATAAGTTTTTCTTTGGTGGTGAAAAATCAAAGAGATAAATATTAAGATGTCTTGTACTGTTTCTTAATTATTAATACTGAGGCATAAGGATATTAGGCCTAATATTTAGAACACTGGGCTGAAATCAGGTCCTTTACTAATGAGCTCCCAAGAAATGTAAAAACGTGACTACATTAAGATATCTTACAAGACATATATGTGAAATCTAGAAAAATGGTATGTGTGTGTGCATGCTAAGTCCTTTCAGTTGTGTTTGACTCTTTGCAACCATATGGATTGTAGCCTGCCAGGCTCCTCTGTCTATGGGATTCTCCAGGCAAGAGTACTGGAGTGGGTTGCCATGCCCTCCTCCAGGGAATCTTTCTGACCCAGGGATCAAACCCCAATCTGTTATCTCTCCTGCATTGGAAGGCAGGTTCTATACCATTAGCCCCACCTGGGAAGCCCAGAAAAATGGTATAGCTGATCTTATTTGCAAAGATATGGAGAACAAACATATGAATAACAAGGTGGGGCAGAGAGGGTGGGATGAACTGGGAAATTGGGATTGACATATATACACTATTGATGAATAAAATAAATAA